TCTCGACAAACGATTTGAGTCTTCCCGCGAGAAGTCAAAATTGAGTTCGAACGAGTGACGCGCGTAATAATATAACAATTCGTCATATAACAATTCTTTTAAGAAAATAACCAATATATTGAAACAGTTTCACCAACTGATCAATTGATCAATTTTTATATCAGTAATTAAATCGGTAAAACTGTTTCGATATATTATCGATTATTTATTTTAAAAGTTTATTCATTGTTAACGCGATGTTAACGTACGGAATAAACGGAATACATTTGTAAGTTACAATTTTATTATTAATAAATAGTTGATTTGACTATTGCTCTTTCCATTATTCGAAATACTCTATTATATGATTGGAATATAATTAGAATATAATTTCGAAACACGTATTTTGCGTGATGCGTTCATTTAATTAAGCAATTAAAAAGAATTGAATGCAATTAAGAATCGACGTGTGTGACCGGAATCAAAATTATAAATTATCATTTTGTTGCAATCCTTAGGAACAATAATTATTCTTCTTTTAATATTTATAATTAAGAATATTTCGTCCGATGCTTTATCATATAATTATGTGATGATTTAAATATACATAATTCGTCTGAGAAAGCGCAGTAAAACGATCGAATGGCAAAATCGAATAATTAACGTAATGGAAAGCCTCGTGATGTATATTAATCGTTTAATAAATAATTAATCTGTGTGTACATGTGTGTGTGACTTTAAAAATATACTTATATATAAATTCAATTTCCGTATATGCACGTCATAGTATGCGTAAAATATTTCGGCAGCGAGGTCAATAACACGACGTTCGGCCTTGATGACGTAGCGCTGTATTGTTTACATAGGCGAAGATCTTGTATCATTCGCACGGCGATATTCCAGTAATAAAGTAGTGATACGGAACACTTCGTATTATTGAATTCTTTTTCTAACAGTGCGATCACGATTAATATCGAAATATAATTCGCTACTATTACAATTAATAATTAATTAACTCTTAATAAATAACATGAAACTATATGGCGATACATCCATCGAAACGTGATCATTCATTATTCCAAATAAAAATTGAAACAAAAGAGACAAAAATTATAAATACATAGACGACCTTGTATTATTCACACGACATTCCAACGGCAAAGTAATGATACAAAACGCTTCGTATTATTGAATTCTTTTCCTAAACGCGATCGCGATTAGTATTGAAATATAATTCGCTACGACTATTGTAAAGCGAATCGTACTTCTTTATCCCTTATACGATATATTAATGTACGTTTCTCGTAATTATTCCGCGATCGAGAGTGCCGTGCAAAAGTCTCGTGATCGTTTCTATTATATGACTAAATATAATTAATTGTTCGTTCGCGAGTGAATATAAGTGCTATGAGGAAACAGCAAAGGATGAAGAAGAAAAAAGAAGGACATCTGGAAAAGTATCGGACACTCAAAGAGCAATGAAAGAGCCTGAAGCAGTCAGAGAAATATGCGGTGAGTAATTTATAAAAATTATTTATTATTATTATTAGTGAGTAATTTATAAAAATTATTTATTTATTATTATTATTTATATATATTATTTTCAAAATAGCTATATTGTATATTATTTTTTCGTTTTCTCAATGGTATATAATTCGCTCTAAAAATCACGTAATATAATGCATGTATAAAATATCCCAGGTTTTATTTTAACATATTTAAAGTATCTATAATAAAGCATTTATAATACTTTTGTTATTAATTAATACTTTTATATATAAATATTTTAATATTTTATAAAATATTTTTAAAATAATATAATTATGTAAATATTTCATATATAAAAATTAACATACTCTCTTTATATAATCATATTTTTCAAAAATTTTTAATAAAGAAACGCTTTTTTGCTAGTTTTACATTTAAAGTATTAATATCAGAGATAAATCTCTCTTGAAAGATAAAAAAATTGATTGCGTGTAATAATTAGTTTTACAAAATAAATTATTTTGAGTTTTATAAAGAATAGATCTATAAGAATATTAATTGATTATATTTGATTTTCATTTTTGACATATTGATTTAAAAATAGAAGTGTGTGACAAGAATTAAAATTAATAATAATTTGAATTGTATTTAGATTGTTAAAAAGTTGAACGATAAAACATCCAATAAAATACACTTAATCTTTAATTATCGTTAAAGAAATAATTATTTTTATAAAAATCACAATAAAATAAATTATCGTTTTATTGCTAAGTGTTAATTGTTAAATGCAACAGAACAATTAATTTCTTGATACTTTTTCATTTGATGTTGCTAAATATTCAAATTGAATTTTTTTTTAAATCTCGCTGTTATTAGATTTGATTTGTTTCGAGCACATTTGATAAAATTATTATTATTCACACAGAATTGACAATGAGAATATAAAAATATCATTGACATCTGAATAAATAAGTTAGAGCATTAGCTGCCGATTAAGACGAGGGGAGCTTTGATATTCGCGGTAGGGAGGGATTCTTTAAACTTCGGTTGAATTCGGTTATTCCCGATAATGATCGATTAATGATTCAATTCATTCCAATCATTGACATCAAAGTTCAACTCATATGTATTGTGCGAAGTTGTGTTATGAGTAATGTCATTTGGTGCATGGTTCTGCAAAAGTGGTTTCCAGTGACCATGAGTTTTTCCGTGGTATTCGGCTGTAATAATCGAATAAATAAAAAAAATTTAGAACAGTTAGAAAAAGAAAAAGCTGTAAACAAAAAATTTTTATTCCACTTGTAAGTAAATTATTATAATATATTCATTACTAATTTTAAATGATACATTTTGATGAATAATACATGATAATGATATATTTTGATAATAATATATTTCATTACATTAATTTTGATGTATTTTGATGTACTTTCATTACATTAATTTTGATGTATTTTGATTTGCAATAATTTAAACGTTGTATATTTTGCATTTTATTAATAATTTAAAATAAGCGGTAATTGGGAAGGGGAGGAGCGATGAGTATGTAGGCGCGCGGTGAAGGCTCTTCCCCTTCCCAATCACTATTTCACCGCGTGCCATTGTTACAGCCAGTGATGGTAGGCCAGGTGACTTTTTCGCGCATGCGCAGTTGTAATCACAGGAAAGTAACGGTGTATCAGATAGCGGATTATAGGCGCCAAAGTTTTGGCGGGCAAGCTGAGGTCGGTGATGCCAGAAAGAAGTCCTGAGTCCGGAGTGAATGTTATAGTGTTTTAAACAGCGAGAAAAGTGATTAGTGAAATAAAAGTGTGCTGTTGGTCACTCGTAAAAATTTTTTAAAAATTTTCTTTCAGAAATTTATTTAAAGGCGACCAGTGACACACCTTTTGCTTCTACTAGATACTTCGTTAACGCCGCGTTCGCGGCGCATGCGCGAAAAAGTCACCCGGCCTACCATCTGGTTACAGCACAGTATATACGCACAATCTTACATACAGGTCTGGAAACTCAGGCTTTTTTTAATGGTGGGAGAGGTCTCACTTACAATCATGGACGTAAGAAATACTGGACAGAGCATAAAATACTCTTTTAGACGAGGGGAGTGAAATCTGAGGGATAAGAGATTTATTGTCGCGGCCATCTTAGATACATCAGATTTAGCGTCTATTTTCACGTCGCACGGACGTAAATCAAATAAAATATGAGAGATTCCGTGAAATCATCTATCATCTGAAATCGCTGTGTTATTCCGAATCATTTTTGAATATTAAGAAATTTAAAAATATCAGACTCCGTGAAATTAATATCCGTCGCCATCTTACATGCCTCATATTCCGTTGCAGTAGACATTTCTTTCCCCTCACTCTTTGAGCTTCACCCCCGCAGCAGTACACTCTGTCGAGTATTTCTTACGTCCATGCTTACAATGGGTGCTTTCCAATTGAGATATCCCTAGACACTTTTATGCACACGGCGACACAAGTCGCGTTCCAATTGCCGTAACTGCCGACACAACTTTACACATCCGTACTCAGCTCGAGGGCTACTAGTCAACTTGTGTAACCTTCTGTTTTCTAGGGACAAATGAAATATGCGGTTACAGACTGACGGCGATTATGTTGGCAATTTTCTTTTCGTTTTATCCTTTTTAATTAAAAGACAACCATTAAAGTACACCATACAAATACAAAAATGGACAATAAAAATATTAAAAGTATCATTGAAGTAAGTAATTCAAATTAATGAGTTTTTGTACAATTAATTTTTTTATTATATTTAATAAATAAAATAAAATTGTCTCTTTTGCATATTTGCAGGTTAGATATATTACTGATTAAATTTTCATTCATATTTATATATTAATATAATATGCATTTATATATTTTATTTATATATTATTTATATATTATATAATATTATGCATATATATACATCTATGTATGTTAATATTAATAATATATATAGAATATATATTGATAATATATAATAATATATAGATAATATATATAACATGGAAGATAATATATTTTTTTAAATTGCGTTTAGTTAGTTTATAAACATTTAAAAAAAATTTTTTTTTATCACATAGTATAAACATAAACACATATACTACGTAAGAATAGAAGATAAAGTAATAAAAAAAAAAGTTTTAATAATAAAAATAAAACCAAAACCGAAAAGCTAAACGCAATAAAAGAAATTAAAAAAAAGAGCGGTCAGGTTCGAATCTGCCTTACACATTATTATTAGTATGTAATACGGGTTCAAAGCCCACCGCTCTTTTTTTTTAATTTCTTTTATTGCGATACTTACCATATTGTCTCAACTTTACAGGTTTAAATCTCACGGCTTTCCTTATTTATTAACTTTTTTTCATTTTATTTTATCGCGATTCTTATCATTTCTTATGCGCATTATGAGTAACCATAATTCGTATGCAAATAATTCGATTGTAATGTGATCTGAAATAAAAAGTTATGGGCTACTTTTTCGAACAAGGAAAATAAATGTAACTAAATATAAAAGTCACTGTACTGCACGGTTTCTTTATTATTGTTTTATCAAATTTAAACAATTTATTTTTTATTACAAAATTCTTTTGTTTTTGTTGATATGCGAAATGACGCATCCTAAATCGGATATAATAAATAAATAGAATATGACAGTGTTTCGGATGCATGCTCAATACACGGAAACGTGAATTTATAATTGTCGAGAACCTTATCTACAGTTAAAGTAAAAACATATTTCTTCGTCACATGCTTGGCGAAACTCCATTCAACAAATTGTATGAGTTTAAAAAAATAACTATTTGCATAAATTAATATTCCTCGGATCTTCTCCCCACTAATTTCGATGCTGAAGGTAACTTATATTATTATTTGAATTAGTTATAGCGTTTCGGCATTTATCGCATTTGCCATAACGTCGTAAAATTTGCTTACTTAAATAGCCTGTAACAGTTAGTAAGAAAATGGCTATTAAGGAAACAATTATTAAAGTTATCTATTACACCGTAGCATTTCGCGTCAGAGGGAAAGAGATAGCAAATTTTGAAAGCAACTTTGTTTTCGAAATTGAATTAGTCCATTTTTGTCGAAGCCGCATTTCGAATCAATTATCGATAAATAATTTCGAATTGTTCTTGTACACGGCAGAGGAATGATGCGATTCTTTCGCAGAAACTCATACATCACTGGAGAATGAATATTCATGAGCATACAATATATGGCCCATTCCTTTGAATAGCGTCGACCTCGAGCATCTTTCCTCTTTGAGGTTTCGAATATCTCTCGCAATGCCGTTTTTTGAATATCCGGAATATCCGCACACCTTTCATTAAACGATTCTTCTTTCATCGCCGCGAATTCAGACTGTTTTTCTTGTAAGCATTCCAAGAGTAGTTGGATTCTTCGTTTTTTACGATTTTTTAAACATCTCTGAGTGTTTATTTTGTTACGCAAAAACTTCCGTTGATCAACGGGATTAGATAGAGCAGTGAAACGTTTCAATTTTTCTCGTTTTTTATCTCGACATTTTTTTTGGATCAACGTCTTTCTCACTCGCACACAAGAACTGCATCTCTTTTTTTTCTCAATTAACGAGCAGTTGATCGAACGGTAAACGTCCATGTTATCCTTGCATACGGTGTTCACATCGAGATGAACGGCGACGTCTCCCAGCCCATCGCATATGCGCGAAGATTTGAATTGCGTAGCAATAGTCACCAGCGTTTGCGGATCGTTGACTAGCGACGGAAGTTGTTCAATGTGATCTTTGACGAGTTTTCCATGCACGTAGTATTGGACAAATCCCTTGTTATTGACAGCAATACTTTTTCTAATGACAGGCGTATCGTTATTGGAATCGTTAGCTACTATTTCGGACAAAAACCATTTTTTATTTTTTGGTTTCGACTGAACGATAATCCACGGCTTTGGCACAGTCATTATACTCGTCTCATGTACTGTTTCAATTTTGAGCTGCACCTCGTTCACAACGGATATGATAAATTGTACATCTTCAGCGCACGGCTTTGAAACGGTCATCGTATGAACCTCCTGCGGAGTGTCAGGTCGAATCTCTTCCTTGTTCACAACTGAAATTTGAAATGGTACGTCTTCAGTCCTTCTATACATAGTATATGACCATAGAACAGGTCTTTTATTTTATTTGTAGTATTAATGCTTTTTTTTCATTTTGAAGAAAATAAAGATTTTAAATAAAATAAAATAAAAGATAAACGAAATTAAAGGCTCTTGAAATTAACAAATTAAAATAAAATATAATAATAGGCCATAAAGAGCCAACGCAGTTGTAAGGCGTGTTTTTGAAGAAAAAAATAATCCATGAAAACGATCACATTAAACGATCTTTCTTCTTTATTGGCATCAAACGTTTCGGACTCAGTTCAAGCCTTCTTCAGTGATTCTGACAAGACAAAAAAATTTCATGGATTATTTTTTTCTTCAAAAACACGCCTTACAATTGCCTTGGCTCTTTATGGCCTATTATTATATTTTATTTTAATTTGTTAAATAAAATAGTCTTTGAATACGTTTGCAAATATTTGTACTTACCGATTTCTGGAGTAAAAGTTCCTTCGTTACATGAAACTACGGTGACCTGTTGTTGACTATCGCTATCTATAACTAGTTCCACAGGATCCCCATTGAAAATTGATGGGATGGCAGTTTCCGTCAATCGAGGACGTTTATATGGAATATATAGTAAAATTAAAAAATTAGAATATTCACGAAAAGCCCATATTGACGTATATAAGAGTTCTTACGGTTAAATTTAGAATAGGGGGATACTCTAGGATTCTGGAAATTTTTTTCTAAATGTTGTTTTTCAATGTTTTAAAACATTCGAAGCACATTTCCACATAAAAATCGTTTAAAAATTTCTTTCACGAAAACAAAACAACTTACTGTACGAGGATGCAAATACTTACATCGATGAGGATTTTTCCATCAGAATCTCGTTTCACTAGACGTCGCACGATACATTCTTCTTCGAAATGTTTCTCACATACATGCTGGTTCGGTTGTAACTTCGCGATACCGGGAATTGCGGTCTCCCACATCTCGCGCAAAACTTCAGACTGGGGAACTCTGAAGAGCGAACACTTTGCCTTGACATTTTGTCTCGTTTTCCGACAATTTATAACTACGCACGAATTCGGCATCTTGCAAAAAAAAAATGTATCTTTGATACGACCGCGATTTCGGGATTTCGTTCAATGTACATAAATACTCTTATTACAGCTGGCTCAGCCGCATTTTAGACATAGAGAGAGAACGACTACTGCAGGCTATCTCTGTCTCTCTCGCTCGCATTGCGACTTCTAGATCGCAGCGAACTTAGCAAGCAAGTCGTGAACTCCCAAAAAACGGACATACTAAAGAAGTTTGTTTTTTATTCCTGCACTGGCTGCACTAGTTCAAAAAGTGTACACTAAAGCGTTCGTTATTCCAGAACTGGTGTAACCGATACCGTTCGTTATTCCAGTGCAGGAAAACTTAGTGCACGAGTTCACTGAACTGGCTGCACTAGGTCCGGAGGTAGTGCAAGCAGTGTAGAGCAACCAAGGAGGTGTTTTTTATTCCTGTACTGAATATAGCCGGCAATTTCAAAATTTAAAGGTTAATGTAAGTATAAAAGTAGAAGTTTTTTTGGATCAAAAAAATTTTACAAAATTTATATTTCAATATATATATATATATATATATATATATATATATATATTGAATGTATATATATATAATGTTTACAATTTATATAGTAAAAATCGTTACCAGTTGAGTAAAATATAAAATTTGTAAGGTTAGAAAATCTTAATCTGTGAAATCTAATAGTAATTTTAATAATTTTATTCTAATAGTAATTTTAATAATTTTATTTGAAACATATGTATATATAATATTTACAGTAAAAAACAATATGGCAAATACAGAAACAGCAAGAATAAAAAAAGATGCCATAGGAAATATTTTAGTGGATCAAACTGGACACGTAACATGCATTTCTGAAGGTATTAGAATTATCTAATATTTATTAAAGCAGACACAGTAAATATTTGATAAAATTATGTTATTAATGTGACGCGCCATATTTTTGCACTGCTTTACACTAGTTTACACTGTATCGTTTTCTACTCCCGTCTGCACTCTCAGTTCTCGCTTGCACTGGCTCAGTTCTAGTGCAGAACTAGTTCAGTTCAGTGTAGGAATAAAAAACAAACCTCTAAGTGCAGCCAGTTCAGTGAACTCGTGCACTAAGTTTTCCTGGAATAACGAATGGTATCGGTTACACCAGTTCTAGAATAACGAACGCTTTAGTGTACACTTTTTGAACTAGTGCAGCCAGTACAGGAATAAAAAACAAACCTTTAGTGTACACTTTTTGAACTAGTGCAGCCAGTGCAGGAATAAAAAACAAACCTTAAGTGAGACCTCCCCTACCACCGAAGTTTCCAGACCTGTATGTAAGACCGTTATGAGTAATGTCATTTGGTGCATGGTTCTGCAAAAGTGGTTTCCAGTGACACCGACAAGATACTATTAAAGACCGATGGTCTTATGGGATTTAGCGTAACCAGAAAAAGAAACGTGCAAAATGCTACTGTAGGTAACAAAATCTTTACATTGTCGATAATAAAATAACGATTTTATACATAATTTGTCATTTTTACACAACAGATATATAAAAGATTTATACATTTTCGATAATAAAACAATAGCAGAATGACCTAAAATACTACGTATGATTTAAATAACTCTTGTAATTGTCTGTAATATAATCAAAAACGGCCGATAATATCATCAATCCTCTATTATCTCCTGGCCCACTGGGTCCACTTGGTGGTTACGAAAATTTACCCAAGGCTATCGATCTTTAACAGTATCTCGTCAGTGCCAGTGACTATGGCCGTTTTAGTCCGATCTTATATTTGAGATCGTCTTAAGTTCGAGCTTGAAATGCTACGCAGCTGTTTGATTGGTTGAATGAGGTCTTAAGTCAATCTCGGACCAGACTTAAGACAATCTTAAATATAAGATCGGAATACCGGCCCATGAGTTTTTGCGTGGTATTCGGCTGTAATAATCGAATAAATAAGAAAAATTTAGAACAGTTAGAAAAAGAAAAAGCTGCAAACAAAAAATTTTCATTCTACTTGTAAGTAAATTATTATAATATATCCATTATTAATTTTAAATGATACATTTTGATGAATAATATATGTTTTGATGAATAATAATATATTTTGATAATATATTTAATATATTAAATATATTATCAAAATTTATTTAATAATAATATATTTTGATGATATATTTCATTACTTTTATTACTTTCATTACATTGGGCATTTTCCAGCTAGCGACACAGAGCACACAGTAAATCATTTCCTTGTTTACATTCGGTAACCAACAAGGATGAAGTGATACACTGTGTCGCTAGTTGGAAAATGCCCATTAATTTTGATGTATTTTGATTTGCAATAATTTAAACGTTGTATATTTTGCATTTTATCAATAATTTAAAATAAGCAGTAATTAGGATGGGAGCAATGAGTGTGTAGGCGCGCGGCGAAGACTCTTCCCCTCCCCAATCACTACTTCACCGCGTGCCGCCATTATGTTATAGCACAGTACGAGGGTGATTCGAAAAGTTCTCGGCCTGATACAGAGATGTCGCTAAGAATATCAAATGGCTATGATTTTTCTCAAGTTTGATCCTTCAAGGTGTCGTCCCATGGACGTCGGAATACGGGATTGGAAAGGTGGAATGGTGGGGAGCTAACCAATCGGTATTATTCCGTTCCGTTTTTTTCAAAACTGGGTTCCCCATGATGATTATTTTTCGGAACAGACTTCGGCGTGTGTGTAAATTAAAATATCTAACTGTTACTTAAGAGAGAGACTAATCAAAATATATAAAACGGCAACTTTATCACAACACTCTCTCTTAAGTGGCAGTTAGATATTTGAATTTACGCACACGTCGAAGTCTGTTCCGAAAAATAATCATCATGGGGAACCCAGCTGTGAAAAAACGGAATGGAATAATGCCGATTGGTTAGCTTCCCACCATTCCATCTTTCCAATTCCATTTTCCGATTATTCCGACGTCCATGGGATGGCATCCTCAGAGAGCATACCACACAGTTTCAGACAGATTCGTTCGCTAGTTTGTTTACTGTGCTCGGGTAAAACAGACCAGGTTTGATACTTCTCCAAAAATGGATAAAATTGAATATCGCGCAGTCATAAAATATTTCGTTTTAAAAAAATTAACGGCAACAGAAATAAAAAACGAGCTAGATTCCGCTTTGGAAGACTCTTCTCCATCATTTTCAACAGTGAAGAAATGGGCTGCTGAATTTAAACGCGGCCGTTCATCCATCTTTGACGATGAACGTTCGGGTCGTCCGAAAACCGCCACGAATGAGGAAATCATCCAAAAAATCCACGATAGCGTGTTAAATGATCGACGAATAAAAATGCGTGAGCTTTCTCACATTGCAAACATCTCAATAGATCGTGTTCACAACATCTTACATGAACATTTGCATATGAAAAAGCTCTCGGCGCGATGGGTGCCGCGTTTGTTAACGGTCGATCAGAAACGTATTCGAATGAACATTTCTCAAGAGTGCTTGGATATGTTTGAACGCAATTCAGCCGAATTTCTGCGACGATTTATCACTGTCGATGAAATACGGATTCATTACACGCCAGAGACGAAACAACAATCAAAACAATGGGTGGAAGCGGATAGAAGTCCAAAGAAGGCAAAAACAGTTCTATCAGCTGGAAAGGTGATGGCGACTGTTTTTTGGGATTCGCAAGGTGTGGTGTTTATAGATTATCTAGAAAAAGGCAAAATCAGTGGAGAGTATTACGCAGCATTGCTAGAGCACCTGAACAATGCTATTAAGATCAAACGTCCTTATTTGGCAAAGAAAAAAGTGCTTTTCCATCACGACAATGTACCTGCTCACACGTCTTCAATTGCAATTGCAAAGCTCCATGAATTGCGTTTCGAATTGTTACCACACGCACTATACTCACCAGATTTAACTGTCAGTGACTTTTTTTTGTTTCCGAATGTAAAAAAATGGCTCGCTGGAAAAAAATTCACGTCAAATGCGGAGGTCGTCGCCGAGACGGATGCTTATTTTGAAGACTTAAGCAAATCGTATTATACTGAGGGTATACAAAAAATAGTACATCGTTGGTCTAAATGTATTGAATTGAAAGGAGACTATGTTGAAAAATAAAAAAAGATTTTTGCTGAAAATCATGTGTTTTCTTTGTCAGGCCGAGAACTTTTCGAACTATCCTCGTATATACAGTAGCGCAATTTGGGTGGCACCCGATTGACCACGTCGCCAATTGGCCAATTCAAAATAGGACTCTCTGATTGGTTAATCGTTGCTAGTTACCCTAGGCACAGATCGATATAATTGGCTGTGGTCAAACGGGACGCTCCCGCGCAATTTCAGCGTAGGTAAAAATGAACTGCACATGCGCGGCTTTGATAACCAATCGCGTGACAGTGATCTTCTGTCTTAGTTTCTCTCTTTATGTGCTCTTTCTCAATCCTATAGAAGCGGCCATTTAATGACAAAAATTGGCGGGAAGGTACTACAAGTGATCAGAGCGATTACGAGAGAGCTGAATCCATCAAGCGACCGATAAAATAATAATAAAAATAGAAGTGATAGAGGTGATAGAGATGTATGAAGTGGTGAAGTGTTCAGTGAACAATGTTCAGTGAACAGTGTTCAGTGAATAGTGGAAGAAGTGAGAAGCTGAGAACGAATAATTAGAGAATAGTAAATCTGTATAAAAATTGTACAGATTTTCAATTCTCTTGGAAGCACTTTGATTTTAGTTTTGTTGCAGATTTTGAGAATATTTTAAAAATTGGACAAAATGGCATCGAATAAATCAAGCGTATGGTGTGTCGTAAAAAATTGTAATCAAAATATTCTGAAAAAACGACACTTGTTTCGATTTCCAAAAGAACATGACAGGTATGATTTTATTTTATTTTATTTTTTTAAACATAAAACAAATTTATTTTGTTATACACACACACACATATTTTGTGTGTGTGTGTGTACTAAAATTAAAATTGCAACATCAGAAATATTGCTGCAATATACTTATTTATTTATTTATATTCTTAAATATGTATGTATGTGTATACAGGGTGTTAGAAAAATTTGGAAACGGTTAAATATCTCGAAAATGAAACGTTTCTAAGAAAAATGTTTCCAACCAAAGTTGTAGGGTTTTAAAAGTTCTATAAAATGCTCTTAAAATTTTTAAAAGTTCTTAAAATAATATCTTAATTTTACATAAACCATAAAATATCTAGTAAAATATTCATTTTTCGATTATGTTACCTTAATATTTTTATGTACAAAATAATGAGAGGAATCAATTGGTGTAAAGAAAACACAATACACAGTTGTTTTTAAGAAAAAATATGTAATTGTTAATTGCAAATTACATATTTTTTCTTAAAAATAACTGTATGTTTTCTTTACACCAATTGATTTCTCTCATTATTTTGTATATAAAAATATTAAGGTAACATAATCGAAAAATGGATATTTTACTAGATATTTTATGATTTATGTAAAATTAAGATATTATTTTAAGCCTCATAATTTGAAAAATACTCAATGAAAACTAGCTTAATTATAGTGTTTTGGAAAGCTCTCGAGATAAGCTACAAGAATATGCAATGAAAAGTTGGGATTTTTGTTTAAAAAAATCATGTTGGCCTTGACCTCGCCTTGATCCCTCCATTCCAGGTCAAACGGATATGCTCATTGAATAAAACTTTTAAAACCCTACAACTTTGATTCGAAACATTTTTCTCAGAAACATTTCGTTTTCGAGATACTTGACCGTTTCCAGACTTTTCTAACACCTTGTATAATTCTTTACATTAAAAAAATGATATTTATAGATGGTTGCAGTGGATACATGCATGCAACAGGCTGGATCTACAAGTAATGGGTGCAGATTACGCTTATCGTAATTATCGATTATGCCATTTACATTTTGAAGAGAAGTGGTACAACATAAGGAAGACTAGAGCTTCTCTCCATCCAGATGCTATACCCACAATATTCTTTGGAAGAAAGTATGTTCTTATAAATATAACATTATAATTATTTAATTTTTTTATATTATTTAATTATTTTATATATTTTATTAATTTATAATTATTTTATATCCAGTATAATTTGATATTTTTTTATATAATTAACAATGTTTGATATTATTAAAAATTAATAATATATTGTGTATATAATTTCTAGCAATTCATCAATTAAATCAGAGGAAGATAATAGCAAAGAAGATAGGGAATCAAGAAGCGATACAAGACAACCCAAGAAAGAAATATTTTTGAAAATGATAAAGAAAGAAAATATTTTTGAAAATGATACACAAGGAAACACAAATAAGTAATTAAATTTATAAATATTTATACTTAAATTTATATAATTAAATTTAAATTATTTATATAATAAAATTTAAATTATTTATATAATAAAATTTAAATATCCTAGATTATTTTTTTATAGAGATAGTATCTTATTACTATTGTAATAGTAACAATAATAAAATGCTGTCTTTACTTAAAAAAAGAAAATAATCTAGGATATTTAAGTTTAATTTAATTTAAATTATCATTAACAAGAATAATAATAACATATATAAGATTATATTATAAAATATATAAAGTAGTAATTAAGTAATTATATATTTTTAGTGACTTACAATTAGAAGCATTGCTGCCTCCAGAACAACAAGCCCAAAGAGCAACAGATCAACAGGAAAGCCAAATCAACAGACCCACTGAACAACAAAAAGAAATAAGATCTGATGTTGAGATGGCTAAGGCGTAAATTTTTATATTTATAATTTTTATATTAACTGCTGAGAATCAAAATGGTATAATTTAGTAAAAAAAAATGATATTACACAATTTAGGGACTATATAAAAAACAGGAAAAAGCGTAAATCAAATTTCTTTACTCATAAAATATTAATGTTTTTTAAATGTTTCTTTTATAGATTTCACGAAACAAATTTTTAATTGTATAGTCTGAAATTATCTTCTTATTAATTTATATTCAATCAGAACCTTCTGTTTTCAAAAAATTAGAAGAAATTGTGTTATACCATTTTGATTAATAATAGATATGCTGGTTTAATATATTAATAATTGCTAAAATAAATCATATTTTCCTAATTTAACAATTACTGATATTGTAATATTTGAAACCTGATTGATTATTATTGTTAAATTTTATTTGCATAATAGTCAATATATCATTTTTTATTATAACTATTTCAGATTATATATATATATATATATATATATATATATATTTTTTTTTATAATATATTTTGTGGTTATTTAATTATAATATTTAATTAAATTATATAATAATTATATATAAATTATATAACAAATTATATATAAATTATATAACAAATTATATATAAATTAAATATATAAATAATTAAATAAAATTATATATAAATTATATAATTAAATTATATAATAATTAATAATATAATAATTAATAATATTTAATTAAAATGTATAATAATTAATTAAATTATATTAAATTAAATTATAATTATTTATTTAAAAATTATTAAAATATATTTAGTTCATTTTTTATTTCATACATCATTTTAATTTTTATATAATTCTAATTATTACTTTATCTCTTTTTAATTTTATATTTAATTTTTACTATTTAATGTGTAATATTTATAATACCTGTATATAATATTTTAGTGTATATATATATATATATATATATATATATATACTAAAATATTATATATATATATCTATATATATATATATAGATATATATATATATATATATATATATATATATATATAAATATTGTATGTGTGTTATATTATACAGTTATTGGTATAATATATATGTGTATATACATATATTATATATTGTGTAGGAGCACATCAAGTAACATCCAAAAAGCAAGAAAAGAGGACAGTCCACTGGAGAAAAAATTGCGGCAACAGATTACAAAATTAAAGGCAAGAGTGAAAAAACTAGAAGAAAGAAATCGACGGCTGCAGAAAAAATTTAAAAACCTGAAGAATATAGAGAAAATTGGAAAGAAGCCCGAGGAATATGAAACTCTGCGCCACTTAACATGTAAGTTTTTCCCTGCCAATTTTGCACGAATATTATGTGCACAAATTGATGCACAAATTAAAAGCAAACATGGAAGAAGATATAATTCTGAATTTGAACAATTTGCCTTGTGCTTATACTTTTTAAGTCCGCGAAATTATAGAATGCTAAAAAAAGAAATAGCTTTACCTTCGATACGCTTATTTCAATCATTTACACAAACATGGCTAATTAAACCGAGTATAAATGATAAAATCTTTAATGTATTCATTTAATATATCCATAAAATTAAATTCATTGCCATTATTAGAACGCCATTGTATTTTATGTATAGATGAAATGAGTTTAAAAGCTCATTTATTTTATAACGTATCGCAAGATGAAATTATTGGATTTAAAGATACGGATAATAAAAAATTACCATTACCTGCAAAAAATGCTTTAGTTATTATGGCACGCAGCATAGCAGATAATTGGAAACTTCCTGTTTGCTTTTGTCTTGTAGAAGCTGCATGTAGATCTAATGCACTAAAACCTAATTTATTTAATATAATATGTAAGTTACAGAATTGCGGTGCTATGGTGCATGGTTTAATTACTGATATAGGTTCAAATTTTGTACAATTATCTCGAGAGTTAGATATTTCAACACAGAATTCAACCTTTTTAGTTGAATATATATAATTTTGAAGTATTATATATATTCGATACTCCCCATTTAATGAAAAGAACTCGAGATAATTTATTAAAATATAATACAGAATTTGGAATTAACAAAGTTGCCTCATGGGCTCATATTGTGCAGTTTTATAATAAAGATAGTAAACAATGGATAAAAATGGCCCCAAAATTGTCTAAAAATCATATCGAGCCAACTAATTTTCAAAAAATGAAAGTCAAATATGCGATACAAGTTTTCAGTAGTTGAGTAGAGTATGTGTATTCAAATGTCCTCTGGCATTTTTCTAAATGAAGCAATTGAAACAATTTTATTGATCATTTTGATAAATTATTTGATGTTTTAAATTCTTCTGTTCTTAATAGTTCAAAAGAATATGGACAAGTATTTACTGGAAGCAGAAAACAGATTCAATTTTTAGAACAAATTTTTAAAAAAATATTTATGTGATTAACGATAAAGGCTCTCGTGTGAAAGTTAAATGTTTTGAATGTTGGCAAATAATTATTAAAAGCATGATGCAACTTTGGGAAAAATTAAAATTTTATAATTTTCCGTATATACGTACACGGAGAATAAACCAAGATTGTATTGAAAATTTCTTTGGTTCTATTAGATAACAAGGCGGTAATTGTGTAAATCCAATCAATTCAATTCATTCGTGCCTTTAAAAAATTATTTAGTATGAAAGTTTTGGAACACTCAGACACGCAAAATTGTGCTGTAGATACAGATCAAATGTTAAATTTAATTGGTGTATATAAATTATTTAATAAAATTATTTTTTCGTATGTGTATTTATTTTACTTTGTCGCAACATAATAGAGAATATAAAGGTGTTAATAGAAAAAATAGAAAACTTTTAAATATTTTACATTTATAAATATATTCAAATAATATTAATTTTATGCACGCACACATACACACACACAATATTATTTTTACAGTTATTTTTTATGTACACAATTAATTTGTTGTATATGAATTATGTTTGTTTTAGCATGTGTATTACTATGTTTTATTTGTGACAGTTTTTGGTTTATGGGTTTAATTTATGTTATCACTTTATAAAACACAATATTTCTAGAATATTGTGTGCTTATATCAACTTGCATGTATATTTTATTGTATGTTTGATTTGTGTATTGTAATTGTATTTTTGTGTATTGTTTTAATTATGTAACTTTTTACTTATAGTTTCAAATTTTTATTTTATGGTTTCAATTTTTAATTTATGGTTTATGTTATGATAATGATTTATATTTAAAATCATATATGTACATACATTTGTTAAGTTTAAAAATTTTTTTCTTACTTTTTATTTCATTCATAAGTGGATCGAGTAGCTAAAGTACGGACAAATGATTGAGTAAGAATGAATAAATTAATATTCGCGATTTATAATTATTTTATTATATTTTAAAATAATTCTTGTTTTTATTATTATTTATAAATATATATCTAATTACATTTACTTATATACATATATATATATATATATATATATATATATACGTTAATGTTCGTATTTTTGTCGATTTTAGGTTTATATACATATATTTATAAATTATATTTCTAATTATGACGGAATTAAATTATATCATATTTTTATCACACATCTTATATTATATATTACATTTTTTATCTTATAAAAGAAATATGCTTTGTCAAAATATATAATAACATATGCTGTACATTCATGTTATTTATGTTATTTTCACTCATATACCTAACACTTCTTACACTTAATACATATTATGGATGTTTTTTATACTTAATACATATTATGCATGTTTTTTATACTTAATACATATTATTTGCATGTTTTTTATTTTTTATTTTATCTTTCTATTTTATTTCTTTTTTTTAATATATGCATGAGATGTGTGCATACGTAGTATTCATTATTAATTAAATTTTATATTATTTTGTGCTTCTCTGCTTATTTATTAATTATTTTTTTTTGTTTCAGAATATAGTGCGTCATTTATATTATTCAACTACTTCTCTACATAATTTTTATTTCTTAATTGAATTGGTCATTTTACAATCATATTTTTTATCAAAGTTAAATAAAAAATTATGTAATATTCAAAAAAATCGCTTGTAATAAAAGTTTATTGACTACTTCATAAAAAACATTTTTTTAATCTCTCTTAATTCTTTTCTTTTTTCTTATATTTCTTAAAAATATTTATTCGTCAAACTTGCACTATTTTTAAACTTTGGAGCGGCACTATACTTCAAATGCATCACCCTATATGTGTTCTGATGTCAGATGTTTCACCTTCACTCTGTATATAATAAGCATGAAGATTTTGATTCTGCGATAAAGCTGCCCCAGTTCCCCCTTTCTCTTCTTTCCTTCGTCCTTCTCCTTTTCTTACCTACTTCCCCAAATTCGTTATATTTTATTGACTAGAGAAACTATTGATTGATACCCTAATATACCAGTTGATGGTATACATGAATCGATGGCTGGAATATTAGGAGCCTAATAAAATAGGATCGTAGATGTAACATAAACTGCTCATGAAGCATTAAAGCTCGAAGTTGGAGTGTCCTCCTGAGAAAAAAGGATAGCATGAATTTATATCTGGACCATCTGTCCTTTTCTGGCACACGCAGAATACGTGAAAGACAGAAACTTCAGAAAAATTCATCTATCCTTTTTTCTCAGGAGAACACTTTCCACCACTTTATAAGCAGTCTATGTTAATATGTCTATGAATAAGATTAACGTTGGCCAAAGAAACCAATAATCCAAAGATTCGTAAACTATTCGTTTTATTCGTTACTAATGCAATCGTCTAAAGGCTGCCATGAAGTTATTTAAATAAAAGAGAGAAGAAATAAAAAAAGAATATATAAGAGAATATGAAGAATGTAAAAATATAAAAGAATATAAATATTTTAAGCAATTAAAATTCATTCATGATATACATATATTGTACATGTATTTTTTTTTAGCAGAATATGCATTTTATTATTTCACCATCACACATTAAAAGTTGCCTTGAAGTCATCTAAATAAAAAAGAATATAAATATTTTAAGGGATTAAAATTCATTCATGATGTATATTGTACTTTTTTTTAGCAAAACATACATTATTGTTTCACTATCAGAATGTTTATATATTATGTTAGTTATTGCATTTATTATATTATGTTATTTAGATATTTATTATTTTTAGATATTTCACATACAGCAGCCTTTAATATGCACTTTAATGCAGCGTAATGCGTGTGATTCAATATTAAATTTTATTACACCTTCGATTATCTATATTGTTGTATGTTATGCAGAGTTTGCAGTTGCATAATTGACAGATTGAAAAATGCTACAGACATTGGACGTGAAAAAATTACAATCGCAACTGTAAAGTTCGCATCGCAGTTTGCGGCTTGAAGATTGAAATTTTACTAATCAGAATAAAAGAAGCTAAAATTTTTTTAAATATTGCTAATTCTTGTAAAATTCCTTTGCCTCTGACTTTGACCGTAAACTAATCGACCAATCGATATCGACCATTCTTAAACGATATTATAAAATATTTAATTCAAATATTTAATTCAAATTGATCGATTTATTTATAGACTTACGAATGGGATATACTAAATTTTTTGTTGTAATGGCTTTAAATCGGGAATATCGCGAGATTTGAAATTGACTGAAAAGTTCGCGATTATAATCCAATGTATTTATTTTAACACGATCAAAAGATAATGTTAAAGTAATAACAATAACACTAATAATAATAATAATAATAATAATAATAATAATAATAATAATAATAACAATAATAATAATAATAACAATAATAATTATTATTATTATAATGAGACATTATTGATAATAAATATTAAAAACATGGTATAATTTCGACTCAAATTTTGATAAATAAAAAATCAATATAATTTTTCCCTATGTATGTATTTATATAATATATAATCTGATAGATAATTAGCAGAAAAAACTCTAATCTTCTTCTTCATTTTTTCCTCAAAGAATCTCGAAGTCTTTAAAATTTTCTTAAGTTCACGTTTCATCTTTTTCCGCGTTATATAAAATTATCGGAATACACATATCTCTTAAAGACTAATAAATATAATAATATTTCCTTGTATCTTATTTTTACTTTTAATCTTATTTTTACTATTTCAATACAAGCTTGTTATCGATCTGACTATTGAATGACTAACGTGAGTCAAAATGTCGTTTTCGTTGACATTCGAGTATGTAAAATTCTGGTAACAAAAAAGACGCCCAATTTACATGTATTTTTCTTATAGATTACGTCACACTTCTATCGCAATATCTATTCTATTCACTGAATCTATATACTATTTACAAAGAATACAACGAATTTCTGTCCGTTCGACATAAATCTACAATTTTAAATTATATACTGCTGCTATATTTGTTCGCGAGGTCTTCGCGCTTATTTTCAGTGACAGCAAAATCTCAATGAAACTCAAAAATACTTCGCGGTGTGTGACGCGCACGTATTTATAAAAATATATATTTTCTGCATCATGATGCACGTTTGATTTTACGCGCATGTATATTTCACAACAAATTTCATTTATTTATGAATTTTTCAATGCGTATAATTGAGATATTTTTCTCAAGAAAAATGCTAATACGAAATTTGGAACAAAAAGTACCTTTCCGTAAACGAAGGGATGAATACAAATAGATAAATTTTTTCCTGGTTTATAATTTCAAATGAATCTTTAATCTAATTTTAGAATTTTGATTTTTTTAATTTAATCTTAGAATTTTGATTTAATATTTATAGAATTTATAGAATTTTTATTTGAATTTATATTTATTTTGTTAAGTTTAATTAAAATGACAAAATATATATAATGGAAAAAAGAGCGTCGAATTAAATTTGTCCTGAAAAGAATTAGCATAAAGAACAAAACTTGCTTTCGTTCGAAACAAAGAAATTAAGGATTCGGAAACATCTTGTGTATTATTGAAAGAAACACGTGGCCAGCATAGACATTGTCTATGGTGGCCAAATGAACATGGTCAACGAGCGAATAAAGAAAGGAAGAAAGAGAGAGAGAACAAGGACGAGTCGACTTACTGTCTCTTTTTTACCAGAATAAACGGCAGATTTCGGAGAGAACGAAATAGTGTCGATTCAACAAAAGATTTTGTTTCAGTCCTAAAATAGATTGCATAATACAAGACGTCAGTGTGGATTAGCTTCATTTACATATTTTTTCATTCTTGCATTGAGAAAAACAATTGTAAACTTGGCTAAATATTTTCAATTAATTATTATTTTTTAAATTTAAATATGATATATTAAATCAAATGTTAAATTAAATGTGATATATTAAATCTAGTATATGACATCTATTTAACTTAAATATCTCAATTAAAATAATAATTAAAAAATAATAATTTATACAATAACCATTGAATAAAACTCCGAATGTCAAAATATCAACGGCAATTTTTGAAAGGTTCCAACCGAGATGGAATGTTGACCTATCTTAAGAAAGAATAAATATACAAAAGAAAATATGAAAAGAGAAAAGAAAACGAAGAAGAGCGAGAGAGAGAGAGAGAGGATATTTTTCACAAATTTAATTGCTTATAAATTATTATTCTGACAATTAATTCGTTAATTCAGTGACTAATCATTGAATGATTTCGATGACATCGCAGAGTCATTATTTCCTATAATTTTCGTAAGTGTGCTTAATTTTTTCAAAATATTTTAACGCTGATTCACTCGATGAAAATTTTCCTTTATATTCATGTAAACGTTTATATTTATATAAATTTGATTTCTCCTTGCGAAAGTCATTTCCCTTGCATGAAATCTATGAGAAAGCGCTTGTTTAATTGATTTTTCATAATTATAATTAATCAGCTTACTATAAAAGATAAAATAAAATTCGAGTAAAGGCATTGAGAGCTTAATTATAAAATTAAGTCATCAAAACAAATTATATATTAATCATCGATAATTTTACATCAAATAATATAGAAATTAATAAAACCATAACGGTAAATACACGACAAGAATATATAAAAAATATAATAATATAAAAATATAAAAAAAAGTATAAAAATATAAATTATTTTTGATTTTTCATATTTATAAAATTATGAAAAATCGCTCTGCTTAAAATTAATCGATACAACCGGCCCATCTATGCTTTCTCTCTCCCTCCCGCCCTCTCTCTTTCTCTCTGTCTTTTTCTCCCTTCCCTCTCTCTCTCTCTCTCATTCACTCACTATGGACTATTCTCCTATTTGAATTATTATATGGACGCTTCAAGGAGAAACCGTTTGCGGCACATTGTATCGCAGCTTCCTCCAGGAACCAACGTTGAAGACCGTTACTGCTAAACGCACCTGGCTTAGCAACACCTTGAACTACGACAGCGCTTAAGGATAAAACGTATCGTTAAATACTACAATCTTTAATAATTTAATAATTAGAGATTTGGTTCAAGTAATCAAAAATAAAAAAAAAGAAAATGGCATAAGAATCAACAGTAGTTGCAACGCAGAGAAGCAACAACACTTCTTCCTTTTTTCAATATTAGTTTATTAAAAAATTCATATTACAATAATAAACTACAATTTTCTTGCATTATAACATATTTTACATATGATTACCATTGCATTAAAAATATGAATAAGTTCAAATATAAATAGACTAGATGAATCTCTTCTTCTCTCTCTTTTTTAAATTATATTCCTGTAACCATCGACAAAGAAAATTAAAAAAAAAATACAAATATTTTTTCTCTGTCTCTCTTTTTTTTACTTTGCTTCTCATATCGACGTCGCGTTAGCTCTTATCTTCCTCTGAAAAAGTATTACCGATATAATGTGTGTTTCAAATTGTAGATTATAAGTGGTTTTTCGAGATAAACGTTTACGTAAAAATATAATTGGTTGATTTTACTGCAGACAAATGCGTCATCAGTGACTTGTGAATTTAATATAAAAATGAATTTAATATAAAACTAGAATTTAATATAAAAATGATTTAAATTTAATAGATTAATTAGAATATAAATTCTGGCTCTTGTTCGTTTCTGCTTATATTATTAAAACTATTTCCATATTTGTGCGATTAATTTCGTTGAAATTTAAATAATTTTAAATAATTTTATTTAATGTAAAAAAAAATTTTTCGACTTTTCGGTTTCGTCATGTCTTGTTTTCGTGAAAATAGAGGATCATGAATATGAAATCTCTCGCGTTTATATATCTCGTTGTTTATATCTCTCTCCTACGATATCTCCTATGAAAGACTTTCTATTGTTTCGCTGAACGTTCGAGAATCCCACTCAACTGAGTTCATCCATTTATCGACCGCATGAATTGCACTTTCCTGCAAGTTTTTTCACGCGAACACAATAAACTTGACGCTTGTGTCCGTGATGCCACGTGGGGACATAAAATCGCTCGTACACACCTTATACAAGGAACGCATGACTCACATGCAATGTCATGTATAATTTTTTTTCAATATAGAACAATTTAAAATTCTCTGAAATGAAAACTGATGCTCTCTAAAAATAATTTTTAATATATGTATAGAAATGACTTTTTTTTATTTAACTTTTAATTTAATATAATGTTATATAATAATATTATTATATATTTATATTTATATATTTATTTATATATTTATATAACATTATATAATAATAATGTAACATAATATAACATAATATAACAATGATATATAACATTATATAATAATAATATTATTATTACATAACATTATATTATTTATTGTAACATATTTATTTAATACAATTTTTTCTTTATATTTAATTTAATTTTATATACACTTTTTAATGTTCAATTTTTAATTTTAATTTTTAATTTTTAATTTTACACTTAATTTAATTTATAACTACAATTACAATAAGTTGCTGCTGCGACTTTAAAAATCGAACAGACTACCTCCTGAGTGCACACATCACGCGAATTGAATTTTCTCTCTCTCTCTCTCTCTTTCTGGAATAACCAGAAAGCCACGTGTATCTTCAACAGTCACGCATATAATATATTTGCCACTATAGCTTAGAAAATCGAACTTACAGGCATTATATAATCGCGGAATATTTTCTTTTTCCCCCTTTTTCTCGCGGTTACCCAGAAGAACCACGTGCATCCGATACGTCATGCGTGCACGTAATTTTCCGTCCGTGATACTCAGTGTTACGCTTAGATAACTCAAAATAATCTAGATACAGATTAGATAACTCATATACTCATATATCTCAGTTAAGATAAAGATAATTCGGTTTTAGTGTATCTAGATAAAAGATGAATTAGTTAAATATTTCATCTAAATACTTTTAAGATAATATTTAAAGATAATATTTAATTAAATATTTAATATTTAAAAAAAAAATATTTAATTTAGGATATATAAAAATAATACACTCGAGACAAAAAATTACAGAAAATAAGCATGTATTTATTTCACAACAATAACGAGTATAGGCCGTGTCCATAATGTCAATGTCAATCGACCAATGTGATTATGGCTGCGTTCCATTTAACGATCGCAACGCTGGCAGAATCATCTTATCCTTGTTGTTTGCTAAAAGTTAAACAAAGACACATCATGTTTATGGGTGTCGCGATCATTAAGTGGAACGCTTTTAAGTCTGTATTACACTATAGGTTGCGGGCTCAATTACGGTTGAAATTGACCGATTAGAGTAGCCGGCCGATAAATTGCTATGGTTTGGAAAAATTGCACTCAATGCACACTGATTACATTAGCTTAGCTGTTTTAATAAAAGATATCACTTTTCTTATATCTGAGATACAGATAAAGATACAGATAAAGATACAGATAAAGATACAGATAAAGATACCACAAACTTGAATTATATAGATAAAAGATAAAATAAACAATAATTGCATCTAGATGAAAATCTAGATAATTTTATCTAGATAACGGAAAACACTGGTGATACTCCAAGATAATTCGCAATGCGATTGTCGCGAGTCGTGCTGCGAATTGGAAACGTCCAATCGTACCATGAGAAGCTCGTATTCCCTCTCTCTCTCTCTCTCTCTCTCTTGCATTAATATTTCCGAACGATACCCTCTAAAATAAACACGTTTCTGGGATCCTCTCCCGGAAAGCGCGCGGGAAGAAAATCGATCTTCCGCGATCAATTTCCAATGACGTCACGGGCCACATGCGCGTCACCGCCGCGAGAATCATCCGCCTTTTGCGCATGCGCGCGCGAACGTGCTCCGCGTTTCTAGAACCAGGCCCGCGAACCTTCTCCATCCTTCTGTCCGACTTCCGTTTGTTCCCTCGCCGAATCCCCCGCTCGACGATCGACCGGGAATCCGTCGCGACCGTCCGCGAATTTATCCCGGATTCCGGCGAGTCGGAATTGCCGTGAAATTCCCCGTCGTCGAGCCGTCAAAAATCCACTCCTGATCGATAGAATCGGCGTCCACGGCGGACGGCGGACGCTCGATTGATTCCGGCGGTGACGCGGGGCGAGGCGGCGGAGGGGGACGGGGCGCCTGGGTCGATGACGCTCGGCCAATCGCGCGCCGGCCTCGGCGGAATCCCGCGCCGCGATTGGCCGGCGCCCTAGTTCCTGCGCTCTGAGAAGGTTCCAGAACCCGGCCGGGCTTTATATACCGCGCTCGAGGGCGCGGACCTTTACTCACGTTGCGAATCGTCACACGAGGAACTTCTTCGCTGTCCTACGTACCTGCTCGCGGAAGCAAGTGAACCTTTTTAACGAAGCGCGGAAAGCTCTTGAGAGGTATTGTGCGGATTTTTCTCTTCTTCTCGTCTCCGATTATTTCTTCTTCTCGCGGTTTCACCTTTTTCACGAAAGTCTTCGTCCTCGTGTCCCGCAGAATCGAAAGAAAGAAAAAATGGCGAAAGCACCCGCGGTTGGTATCGATCTTGGCACGACCTACTCCTGCGTCGGAGTCTTCCAGCACGGCAAGGTCGAGATCATCGCCAACGATCAGGGGAACCGCACGACGCCCAGCTATGTGGCCTTCACGGAAACCGAGCGCCTCATCGGGGACGCCGCCAAGAATCAAGTTGCCATGAATCCCAACAACACCATTTTCGGTAAGTTTCCGCTTCCGCCTCCCCCCTCCTCTTCCCCCTCCTCCTCACCTTCTCGTTCGCTCGTATGCGGAAATATTTATTACGTTTACCGAATTAACCCATGCAGCGTAGATTGCAGCAATAATATTAATAATGTTGCAATATTGCCACAATATTACTGCAATATTGCTGCAATATTTTATGATGTGTGGGAAATCGTGATTCGTTCATTTCTCGATTTAATTCGATATCAACACGAAAGTTCTTCTTTGTGTATATATGTGTATATTGTGTATACAGAGTGTCTCAAAAGTCCCGGACTGGTCGAATATTTCATAAACTATGCACTTTAGAAAGAAATGTTTCAAACAAAAGTTGTATGGCTTGAAGGGGGCCATCAGATAGTGGCAATGATTTGACATGGGAGAGTCATTTGAAAGTCACGTAAAGATCACCATCAATTTCTTAAATGGAACTCCCTATTTTTTATTACATATTCGTGTAACTTATCTCGAGAGCTTTCCAAAACACTATAATAAAGTATTCCTTCATTGAATACTTTTCGAGTTATGAGGCTTGAAATCATTTCTTAATTTTGCATAAACCATAAAATATCTAGTAAAGTAGGTTCATTTTTCGATTATCTTACCTTAATACTTTTATGTACAAAATAATGAGAGGAATCAATTGGTGTAAAGAAAACACAGTTGTTTTAAAAAAAAATATATAATTAATTGCAAATTACATATTTTTTTTTATGGCCCCCTTCAATCCATACAACTGTTGTTTGAAACATTTCTTTCTAAAGTGCATAGTTTATGAAATATTCGACCGATCCGGGACTTTTGGGACACTCTGTATATTGTGTGTGTGTAAAGTTTATCTTATTCATGCGCATAAAATATCTTTATATTGCTAATCTTGCATCTATTATTTGAAAAAGTAACGTTCACATATTTATTTGACACGCAAGTAATAATTTGGTTTTGATAAATATAAATAAAAAGTTTTTAATTAAGTTTATGAATAAGTTTCTTTTTTAATTTTTAATTCAAATAAGTAAAATAAATAAATAGTCATTTTCTTTCTCGGTATTTTATAAAATACAGAAAAAAAGTCATGGAAATTACCAACTTTATTTTCTCATTTTAAACAATTTAGATTGTTTATTGATTAAAATTGATAATGTCATGCACATGAAATATCTTTACATCATAATGTATTGCCAATCATGCAATATTATTTGAAAAAGGAATATTCACATATTTGACATGCAAGTAATAATTTAGTTTTTATAAATATAAATAAGTTGAAATTTTTATTCTGAGTAAAAGTTGAAATTTTTTGAATAAATGAAATAAAAATGTTGTCACACGTCATATTTTATAAAACATAGAAAATCTTGAAGACTACTAACTGTCTTTTCTCACTTTAAATAATTTAGATGCGAAGAGACTTTTTATTGATTAAAATTGATAATGTCATGCGCATGAAATATCTTTACATTATGTTGCCAACCTTGTACTATTTGAAAAAATAATGGTCGCATATTTATTTGACACACAAGTAATAATTTAATTTTTATAAATATAAGTTAAAATTTTTATTCCAAATAAGTAAAATAAAAATATTGTCTCGATCCTTCTTATATTTTACAAAATATAAAGAATCTTGGAGATTACTAACTTTCTTTTCTCATTTTAAATAATTTAGATGCCAAGAGACTTCTCTTTAATGATATTAAAATTGATAATATAATAATTTCATGCGCATAAAATATCTTTATATCGCCAATCTTACAGTATTATTTAAAAAAGGAATATTCACATATTTATTTGATACGCAAGTAATAATTTAAGCTTTGCTAAATATAAATAAATAAGTTAAAATTTTTATTCGAAATAAGTAAAATAAAAATATTATCACACGATCCTCATATTTTACAAAATATAAAAAATCTTGGAGATTACTAACATTCTTTTCTCATTTTAAATAATTTAGATGCCAAGAGACTTCTCTTTATTGATATTAAAATTGATAATTTCATGTGGGCATGAAATATCTTTATATTGTGCCAATCTTACAGTATTATTTAAAAAAAGAATATTCACATATTTATTTCATACGCAAGTAATAATTTAGCTTTGATAAATATAAATAAATAAGTTAAAATTTTTATTTCAAATAAGTAAAATAAAAATATTGTCACACAATCCTCATATTTTACAAAATATAAAAAATCTTGGTGATTACTAACATTCTTTTCTCATTTTAAACAATTTAAATGCGAAGAAACTGCTCTTTATTGATATTAAAATTGATAATTTCATGCGCATGAAATATCTTTATATCGCCAATCTTACAGTATTATTTGAAAAAGGAATCTTCACATATTTATTTGATACGCAAGTAATAATTTAAACTTTGATAAATATAAATAAATAAATTAAAATTTTTATTCCAAATAAGTAAAATAAAAATATTGTCACACGATCCTCATATTTTACAAAATATAAAAAAATCTTGGAGATTACTAACATTCTTTTCTCATTTTAAATAATTTAGATGCCAAGAGATTTCTCTTTATTGATATTAAAATTGATAATTTCATGCGCATGAAATATCTTTATATCGCCAATCTTACAGTATTATTTAAAAAAGGAATCTTCACATACTTATTTGATACGCAAGTAATAATTTAGCTTTGATAAATATAAATAACTAAATTAAAATTTTTATTCCAAATAAGTAAAATAAAAATATTGTCACATGATCCTCATATTTTACAAAATATAAAAAAATCTTGGAGATTACTAACATTCTTTTCTCATTTTAAACAATTTAGATGCCAAGAGACTGATTGGACGTCGCTTTGAGGACCCAACCATTCAGGCCGACATGAAACACTGGCCCTTCACCGTAGTAAACGACGGTGGCAAGCCAAAAATCCAAGTACAGTATAAAGGAGAGACGAAGACTTTCTTCCCTGAAGAAGTGAGTTCGATGGTTCTGGTAAAGATGAAGGAGACTGCAGAGGCATACCTGGGCAAGACTGTTACCAATGCCGTGATCACCGTCCCCGCTTACTTCAACGACTCGCAGCGTCAGGCAACCAAGGATGCTGGTACCATCTCGGGCTTGAACGTCCTACGTATCATCAACGAGCCCACCGCCGCCGCCATCGCCTACGGCCTCGACAAGAAGGCCACCGGCGAGCGAAACGTCCTCATCTTTGACCTCGGTGGAGGCACCTTCGACGTCTCGATCCTCACCATCGAGGACGGCATCTTCGAGGTCAAGTCAACAGCCGGCGACACTCACCTGGGCGGTGAGGACTTCGACAACCGCATGGTCAATCACTTCGTCCAAGAGTTCAAGCGCAAGTACAAGAAGGACCTGACGTCGAACAAGCGCGCCCTACGTCGCTTGCGCACAGCCTGCGAGCGGGCCAAGCGCACCCTGTCCTCGTCCACGCAGGCCAGCATCGAGATCGACTCGCTGTACGAGGGCATCGACTTCTACACCTCCATCACCCGGGCTCGCTTCGAGGAGCTCTGCGCCGACCTCTTCCGCGGGACCCTCGAGCCCGTCGAGAAGTCCCTGCGCGATGCCAAGATGGACAAGGCTCAAATCCACGATATTGTCCTTGTCGGCGGCTCCACGCGCATCCCCAAGATCCAGAAGCTTCTGCAGGACTTCTTCAACGGCAAGGAGCTCAACAAGTCCATCAATCCCGACGAGGCTGTCGCGTACGGCGCGGCCGTTCAAGCGGCTATCTTGCACGGCGACAAGTCCGAGGAGGTTCAGGACCTCCTCCTGCTCGACGTCACTCCGCTCTCTTTAGGTATCGAGACTGCTGGCGGTGTCATGACCGCGCTCATCAAGAGGAACACCACCATCCCGACGAAGCAGACCCAGACCTTCACGACCTACGCCGACAACCAGCCAGGTGTGTTGATTCAGGTGTACGAGGGCGAGCGCGCCATGACCAAGGACAACAATCTGCTGGGCAAGTTCGAGCTCAGCGGCATCCCCCCGGCGCCCCGCGGGGTCCCCCAGATCGAGGTGACCTTCGACATCGACGCCAACGGTATCCTCAATGTCTCCGCCGTGGACAAATCCACCGGCAAGGAGAACAAGATCACCATCACCAACGACAAGGGTCGACTGAGCAAGGAGGACATCGAGAGGATGGTCAATGAGGCGGAGAAGTACCGCAGCGAGGACGAGAAGCAGAAGGAGACGATCTCGGCCAAGAACGGCCTCGAGTCCTATTGCTTCAACATGAAGAGCACGGTCGAAGACGAGAAGCTCAAGGACAAGATCAGCGCGTCGGACAAGCAGACGATCCTGGACAAGTGCAACGAGATCATCAAATGGCTGGACGCCAACCAGCTCGCTGACAAGGAAGAGTACGAGCACAAGCAGAAGGAGCTGGAGGGAATCTGCAACCCGATCGTCACCAAGCTCTACCAGGGCGCTGGAGGCATGCCTGGGGGCATGCCAGGTGGTATGCCAGGTGGTTTCCCTGGAGCAGGTGGCGCCGCTGCTGGTGGAGCGGCCGGTGGAGGCGGCGCATCCGGACCCACCATCGAGGAAGTCGACTAAGGGAGTCGTGTCCTACCTTCTCGACCTGCTACTGCCCATCGTCATCGATTACCGCATCGCTATGCGCAATTAAACGAATAAACGAACATAGAACAATTACACACAGCCGCGGTCTTCGCTCTTAATCATTCCGTTTTTATGTCTGTACGTTCCTTTAGCACCGTTTTTTCTTAGAGTTCCTTTCTTTTATACTTTCTCTTGGGTCCATATAAGATAAGAGTGCCTCTAAAAGTGGTATAAGCCTTCTGATTGGCTACAGGTCACTTTTAAAGGACCTTTCATTGATCAAAGAGGATTCAGAATATGGACCTTGGAAGCAAATGCGTGTATGCTTGATTTAGTTATTTATTTTACTCGCGTATTTTGCGTACTTATCGTTTATTCCGATCAAGAGATCTGCGTTTGTTAATCTTCTATGTTCCAAACTTCGTAAATATATAGAGCGATTGCCCGAAAATTTCACGGTGTATTATTTTTTTTATCCCGTTTATTAATTAGGATTTAGGAAAGCACCGGCGTAATTTGATATGATTTAAAATAGAGCGATTTACGGTGATACAAATAATTGCATTTCAATTTTTCTGAATCGCTACTTTACTTTGTAACTTGTAATAATTCATAACGATGTTAAATTAAAAGAAAAAAAATAGAACAGATACTTGAATTAAAAATGATTTTTTTTTAAATTTTATGTTTTATTTTCTAAAAAGAGAAAAATTGTGGAAGATAAAGTATATAAAATATATTTTATTAAAAAGGAAAAGAAATGTGAATAGAAAAAAAAGAGAGTAGAAATGTATTCAGTATTGATTATTAGCAATATATATTTTTTTCTGAATCTGAATAACCATTTGATATGATTTAAAATATAGCGATTTACGATGATACAAATTACAAATAATTGCATTTCAATTTTTCTGAATCGCTACTTTACTTTGTAATTTGTAATAATTCATAACGATGTTAAATTTAAAAAAAATAAAACAGATACTTGAATAAAAAATGAAGTAATTTGTAATAATTCATAACGATGTTTAAAAAAAAGATATAGAATAGATACTTGAATTAAAAATGAAGATTTTTTAAAATTTTGTTTTATTTTCTAAAAAGAGAAAAATTGTGGAAGATAAAGTACATAAAATATATTTTATTAAAAAGGAAAAGAAATGTGAATAGAAAAAAAAGAGAGTAGAAATGTATTCAGTATTGATTATTAGCAATATATATTTTTTTTCTGAATCTGAATAACTTAAAAAAATCATTTGACAAGAGATCCGTGGTAAGATCTCAATTATTTAATCCCTTATAGCGTTTGTGTTAACTCAAATTTAATAAATTAATTAAAAATTAAATATAAATTTTATATATAAAATTTACAATAATTATTTAATCAATTTGTTAAGTTTGAATTATACAGGGTGTCCCAGTTATCCTCCGTCATCTTTCAAAGACAGATTCCTGAGGATCATTTGAAAACGATTTTTCCTCAGTGGAAATGTCAATGAGGTCATCATTTTTTGCATGTTCCCGATTTTTGTCATCATATATCTTTGTAATTAAATCTTAAGTTAAAACTTAACTAAAGTAAACTTTATTTAAAATTAATCGACGAATGTAGTTTTATTAATATTTTATTTCTACAAAGCTTAGTTTACGAAAAACCCCTCATTTCCAATCACTTATAATTCGAAATTATTAGTGCCTCGACATTTTCGTTGAGAAAAAATCGTCTTCAGATGATCCCAGGAATCTATCTTTGAAAGATGACGGAAGATAACTGGGGACATCCTGTATATATTTTATACTTGAAATTTGTGAATATATTTCTTCTTCAAGCAAGGAAGAGAAAAATCTTGAAGATTCTTTATAACTAATTGAAATGCAGCGTAAATGAAGTAAAATTTTATTCATAAGCACAATATGCGAGAACTCTACAGCAAATAATTGCTCTTTATACGGTAAATAATTATGATAATTTTCAGTACAGAAATGAAGACATTCAGTACGTTTCGTACGATATTAAATGATGGTAGCACACAAGAATTGTAACGAAATTAAAAGTCTACAATTGATCCAATGAAGTTACCAATAACCATATTATATAGCAAGAAAATTAGCACGCAAAAAATATCATGCAATCGTATAACTAATTACAAGGAATAACCGGATGTCATGCCAGTTGTTAAAAGTACAGTTCCTTTATTCTTCTTTTTCTTCTTCTTCTTACCAGCTATGCCACCGTCATCCTTGGCTTCTGAAAACGACAATGATCTAGTTAAGGATGTTTTTTATGTACAATCCCAGCAAAAAATAACTGATTAGTAGAAAAGTAGCTAATCAGTAGAAAATCAATATTGACAAATATATCCACTTTTGGTGTATTTTGAGTAAGAAATTATGTGGAATATTACAATTTGATCTTAGCTACAGTGCAGTGTATTTTTTAATATTTATTGCGTTTTTACTGAAATATTCCGAATTTTGTTAATCGAAATGATCAATTTTTGGCAGAGAATTTCCTGTGACAGATAATGGCTAACTTCATTGAATTATATTTAATATCTTTTTAATCAGTTAGTACTTGTATAATATTATTTGACCAAATATTTCTGTATCTAAACTTTTGCAAATTTTTAACAAATTCTGAATATTATTTCCATGTGTTTTTGTCATTTGAATCGACGTGGTTATACATTTCGCATAAGAACACATGCTAATTCGGTGCAAATTAAAATCCTTATAACTTGTGAACGCTTCAGTGAATCAATTTAAATATTGTACTGAAGATTCTAAACATATACAGGGTGTCCCATTTTAATGTCCCACCCCAAATAACTTTCTTATTTTTAATTTTAGAAAAAGATGTTTCAGACAAAAGTGGTATGGTGTCGAGGGAGACATAAGATGGTATCATTGGTTTGATCTTGAAGAGTTATTTGAAAGTCACATGAAGGTTACCTTCAATTTCTTAAATGTAATCTACATTTTCTCATTACATATTCTTGTAGCTTATCTCGAGAGTTTTCCAAAACACTATAAATAAAATTTTTTTCATCAAGTACTTTTCAAGTTATGAGGCTTGAAATCATTTCTTAATTTTACATAAACCATAAAATATCTTGTAAAATATTCATTTTTCGATTATCTTACTTTAATACTTTTATGTACAAAATAATGAGAGAAATCAATTGGTGTAAAGAAAACAACTGTATGTTTTCTTTACACCAATTGATTCCTCTCATTATTTTGTATACAAAAGTGTTAAGGTAAGATAATCGAAAAATGAATATTTTACAAGATATTTTATGGTTTATGTAAAATTAAGAAATGATTTCAAAGCCTCATAACTTGAAAAGTACTTGATGAAAAAAATTTTATTTATAGTGTTTTGGAAAACTCTCGAGATAAGCTACAAGAATATATAAAAATATATAGAGTGTTCCATTTAAGAAATTCAAAATGACCTTCACGTAACCTTCATGTGACTCTTCAAGTTCAAACTAATGGCACCATCTTATGTCCCCCTAGAAACCATACAACTTTGGTCTGAAACATCTTTTTCTAAAATTAAAAATAAGAAAGTTATTTGGAGTTGGACATTAAAATGGGACACCCTGTATAAGAACATTCTGTACAATTTTCATTAAATGTTCAATATTTTGAAAATAGATACAAAACATCCTTAAACGATTGAACAAAATTTTGCCGAAATCTGTACAAGTAATTGATTGATTTCTCGATGTACACTCAAAGTAACGCGACTTACGTTCAGAAGCGTCAAGTTTTTTTTCATCTTCATTGGACGAAGAGGTTCCTGTTGCAGAATACATTTTCGATTTTACAGACCAAGCATTGGCAGGCTTATGTGTCTTTGTTACTAGTTTCGGCGACGCTTCTTCTTCATCCTTGTTGGATGACGTTGTACCTTCTCGATTGGACTTTCTCGATTTTACAGACGGCCAAGCATTGGTAGATTTGTTGTACGTCTTTATTGGCATAGTTGACGGTAACTTTTTCGTTATGTCGGCGAATGTTCGGGTCTGTCCATGCGATGGATGGTCCGTTTCTTGCTTCGGGATTTCATCGAACGCGCTCAAAGGCGGACTACTAGCGATGCTCGAAGTTGCTGATTCTGAGAGCGATAGTACGTGCTCGCTACAAAAGCAAAACAAATGATATTTTATATTACTAGACATTACAATTTACTAAATACCAGGATTGGCAAAAAACTTTTTTAATTTTAAACAAAAAACATTATTTTTTTTGTTTAGAACAATGTTTTTTGTTTTTTGTTTTTTGTTTTATTTGTGTTTTTAAGTAAAGTAAAAAAACATGTTTTAAACAAAAAAAAGCATGTTTTACAAGCAAAAGACACTTAATAGCTTTGATCTGTGCAAACATTTAAATTTTTTCACTAGCGTTAAACTGTAAATAATGTTGCCAAAATTGACAACGCTATTAAAAATATAAATAATAAAATAAAAATGATAAGATGGGTATTATTTTAGCAGAATTTATTTTTGGAGAAAAAAGTTCTAGTTAATAATATTTAATATATAATACTTTGGTTCCTTTCCTATTCTTATTAAGTAACCTCATGCTTAACTCTCAACATAAATTATAAATAAAAGAAAAATAAAAAACCTCAATTCTTCTTTTTAAAAGAAGTTTTTTTTAGAACTACTGACATGCTATGAGTTATGTACTATTAATTTAAAATGCTAAAATGTAAAATGTAAAGCCAGTCAATATCTTCTAAGTAATCTTTATTATATTGATTGTTATTTAATATCCAAAAATAAATATTCTGCTAAAATAATACCCATCTTATCATTTTTATTTTATTATTTATATTTTTATATCTATATGTTACATAAATATAGATAAAAAACTAAAAATACTAAAACAAAAACTTTTTTGCAATATACATCTATTAGTTTTTGTTTGTTTTTGATTTTTTTTACAATTTCTTTTTCAAATAATCATATATTTTATTTGCGATTTTTTAAACGATTCTAAACAGTAGTTTAAAACAGTTTAAAACAAAAATGTTTAAAACATGCCGACCCTGCTAAATACAAAGCTTCAAAAATAGCGTTTATACGCGAAAGATTTTATACGCGAAAAATATTAATGAAGATATCAATGAAGATATAGGGCTCACTTGGAAAGTTGCAGTTCGGCTTGTAATTGAGGAAAATGTTGATGCGATTCAATGTCTATGTTGGGTATCGGATAAATGCCAATTAGTTTATTCTCCACTTCTATTATTTTTTTCTCCCTTTTCTTTTCCTCGCGTTCCTTCTCTTTCCTGTTTTTCTGTCTCAAATTCAATTCCACTGGCGATATAAGATGAACATGAGAATAATAAGACAATATATTTGGAGGAATAATTTTTTTCTTATATCAGATTATGTGAATAGTTACCATGGAAATTACAAAGAACTTCCTCCGATACGAGTGGTGGTTTTAATTCGATTTCAACCGATTCGAATAGACAAGTAAGTGGTAAATGACAGAGATATCGTAAGTTCTGTCTCAAGAGTTCCGTGCAGATGCTTGCTTGTTTTTCGAGAAGCTTACCCGTTATAACAGGTGGGCAAAACTCTAGACTACCATATTGCTCCTTCAACATGCTCACATTCAATCGGCCAAGATACATGTGCTGCCCGTCTTCAGCTAAAAATTAATAAAATATAACATTAATAAATAAATATAAATTAATAAAATATAACATTAATAAATAAATATAAATTAAATTAATATAAAATAAATATAAATTAATAAAATATAACATTATTCTTATCTCTCTGAAATATTAGACATTATGTAATTTGAAATGTCGGAAAAAATGTTAAATTTTCAATTTTGAACTATATAAAATATTTATAAGAATGTGATTATTTCTACCTTGATAAAAGTATAAAAACTTGGAATTTGAATTTGAAACAGATTGACTGTCACTGGAAACACTATCCGTTGAAGATTGTTTTACTAGAGATGTAGTATCTTCTTTGCAACATGTATTGGCATTTATTTCATGTCCTTGTGGTGTTTCTTCAGTAGTGTCTTTCTTGATATTTTCCACAGATAGAGTATCTTTAGACTCTGCATCCTTATATAGCATAAATATTTTTCATTATTCTCAAATATACAGGGTGGTCTTGAACGTTCCAACCAGACTTTGAGATCTTATAGGAAATTTAATTCTGAACAAAAAATTTCCTATAAACGTGGGTTGAAAAATACTTCCTTAAGAATTTATCGCCCAAAAACCTCTGATGAAGGAAGAGCAAAAGATGAAAACAAAATAAAATAAAAAGAAAATGAAACTAAATAAATTTCTTGAAAAAAACGATAAAAATAAAAAATAAAAATCTTTTTCTTTTATAAAAATAAAATAATTTTTTTTTAACTAACTTTTATTTTATTTTCATAAAAGAAAAAGATTTTTATTTTTATCGTTTTTTTCAAGAAATTTATTTAGAAGTTAATTAAAAAAAAATTATTTTATTTTCATAAAAGAAAAAGATTTTTATTTTTATCCTTTTTTTCAAGAATTTGTTTAGTTTTTTTATTTAGTTTCATTTTATTTAGTTTCATTTTATTTTTACCTTTTGCTCTTCCTTCATCAGAGGTTTTTGAGCGATAACTTCTTAAGGAAGTATTTTTCGACCCATGTTTATAGGAAATTTTTTGTTCAGAATTAAATTTCCTATAAGATCTCAAAGTCTGACTAGAACGTTCGGGGCTGTATATGTGATATAATTTTATATACAGATTTAATATTAATGTTACCTTCAGCTTTTCCTTCCTTTTCAATAATTCATTGAGCGCTTGCTCAATGTCGAAAGCCATATCTGGATTATTCCTACGTTCAAGTTCCAATTCAAAACGCTCGCGCTCTATGATGTCCATAATCTGGAGACAATTATTATCATTCGTATTTCACTCTCGCATTGGGAATTTTTATAAATTACTTACATCTTTTGCACTTGCGATAAGAAGCTTTGAGTATATCTGATTAGTGGCATTATTCGAAACGGATAGAAATGTTGTCGGTGGATGAATCATAGGTTCAACGGGCGTCGCAAATAACGAATTCTTTTCGCGTCGCATCAAACGTAGACTGATCGTATCACCCAAGTTATACGTGTGTCGCGTAATCTCGATCACACTAAAAGATACAGATACGTGCATATGCATATTTTTGAAGACATTTCAATACAATATTATGATAGACGATAATTGTATACAATTACCTCTTTAAATCATTTTTATGCAAATATTCATCGCAAATCGGACATTTGTAATTGCCTGTTTCTTGACAATAACGTAAGTAACGGAGAATACAAGGCCAGCAATAGACATGACCACAGCGAGTCATTTTGCCCGCGACTGGCGCATCCAAACAAATAGGGCAAGAGAGATTTTCCGAATTGTGTAATTTCTGGAAACAAATCAACCACAACTTTAATTAGAGACTTAATTAATATATATCAATGATAATATACAGGAACCAAAAGTCTGGATACAAGATACAGTCGAATATTTCGTATAGAATGCATTTTAGAACAAAATGCTTTAGACAAAAATTGTAAGGATTAAAACGATGTATTTAACTGTAATATCCATTTGATATTGAGTGACGTTGCCAAGGTCAGGACAAGGCCAACTTGAATTTTTTTAATGGGATCCTCTATTTTTCATTGCATATTCTTGTAGCTTACCTCGGGAGCTTTCCAAAACACTATAATTAAGTTAGTTTTCATTAAGTACTTTCCGAGTTATGAGGCTTGAAATAATTTCTTAATTTTACATAAACCGTAAAATATTTAAATAAATACATCTTTTTAATCCTTACAACTTTTGTCTAAAACATTTTGTTCTAAAATGCATTCTATATGAGATATTCCACTGTATCCAGACTTTTGGTCCACCCTATACAGGGTGAGGCATCTAAAACAGGCCACCTGAATAACTCCGTTGGTAAGCCGAATATAAAAAAATTGTTCACACAAAAGTTGTATGGTTTCAAGGGGGACATATGATGGAGTCATTAGTTTAATCTTGAAGAGCCACCCGAAGGTCACGTGAAGGTCAGCTCCAACTTTTTAAATGGGACACCTTATATGCTTTTGTATATTCTTGTAGCTCATCTCAAGAGCTTTCCAAAACACTACAATTATGTTAGTTTTCATTAAATACTTTCCAAGTTATGAGGCTTGAAATCATTTTTTAATTTTACATAAACCGTAAAATATCTTGTAAAATATTCATTTTTCGATTATTTTACCTTAATACTTTTATGTACAAAATAATGAGAAGAATCAATTGGTGTAAAGAAAACACATAATTGCTTCGAACAAAAAAATGTAATTGTTAATTGCAAATTATGTAAAATTAAAAAATGATTTCAAGCCTCATAACTTGGAAAGTATTTAATGAAAACTAACATAATTGTAGTGTTTTGGAAAGCTCTTGAGATGAGCTACAAGAATGTGCAAAAGCATATAAGGTGTCCCATTTAAAAAGTTGGAGCTGACCTTTACGTGACCTTCGGGTGGCTCTTCAAGATTAAACTAATGACACCATCATATGTCCCCCTTGAAACCATACAACTTTTGTCTGAACAATTTTTTTGTATTCGGCTTACCAACGGAGTTATTCAGGTGGCCTGTTTTAGATGCCTCACCCTGTATATGTAGAAAAATTTTTCAAATTCTGCATTATAACAAGATTAGTGAGTTATAGTTGAAAACAACTTACAATTTGCTCAATCAATTTCCAATCCACAAGCATGTCAGCGTTGGTCAAATATGAGGAATAATCTCCATTCGCAGTCACAACAAACTGGCAGCTATCAATAGATATAAAGATAGATAATTTAACATGTATATACAGTAGTAGACAAAATAAATCATACACCTTTCAACAAATTGAATTTGTTAGTATAACTATTCTTTTAACAAGCAAATAGATTATTAGATACAGGAAAGTCGAAGCATTTCAAAGTATTTAAATAAAGAAAATAGGAAATAATAAAAATTATGCTCAATTATTTTGTAAAAAATTTATTAGTCAATATTGTTACATTTTGCCCTGGACAAAATAAATCATACACTTTTAGAAGTAATAGTTAGCAAATAAATAAAGTTAATTCTAATTGTGATTAGCACTTGGTATGGCCACCATTGGCTTTCAATACCGCTTCCAGTCGGCGAGGCATACTTTGAACTAATTTCTTTAAGTATTCAGGATCAATTTCCTTCCAAGCCTTCTGAAGTGTTGCATAGGACGATGTCTTGTCACTTACATTCGTTTTATTCACGTTTACGTCCAAATAAGCCCACAAAGTTTTAAAATTGGATTAAATCTGATGAGTGTGGCAGCCATTTGACCAGTTTGACCTTAGATTTGAAAACTGTAGTGGTTTTCTTCGTTTTATGCTTAGGATCATTATCTTGAAGATAAAGTTGTTTTCTAAATCCAATTTCAAAAGGAGATTCTTTCAAATTCTCGCACAATACATCAATATATCCTTCTGCCGTCATGATGCTTTCAATTCGAGTCAAATTACCGATCCCAGACCATGTAAAGCATCTCCATACCATAATATTACCGCCTCCATATTTTGCAGTCTTCTGAATATTTACTTCTTGAAAAGCCTCACCAGGTTTTATCCACCAGATTTAATCCAATTGAAACTTTGTGGGCTTATTTGAACGTAAACGTGAATAAAACGAACGTGTGTGACAAGACATCGTCCTATGCAACATTCCAGAAGGCTCGGAAGGAAATTGATCCTGAATACTTAAAGAAATTAGTCCAAAGTATGCCTCGACTGGAAACGGTACTGAAAGCCAATGGTGGCGATACCAAGTACTAATTACAATTAGAATTAACTTTAGTTATTTGCTAACTATTACTTCTAAAAATGTATGATTTATTTTGTCCAGGGCAAAATGTAACAATATTGAATAATAAATTTTTTACAAAAGAATTGAGCATAATTTTTATTATTTTACAATTTTCTTTATTTAAATACTTTGAAATGCTTCGACTTTTCTGTATCTAATAATCTATTTGCTTGTTAAAAGAATAGTTTTACTACCAAATTCAATTTGTTGAAAAGTGTATGATTTATTTTGTCCAGTACTGTATATATAATGTACAGAGTTATTTCTATATAATTTGTGTATTATTTAATATAATATATAGATATAAATATGCTATTTAATCATGTTAATATTCAATTTCAAGTTCTTACTTTGAAAAAAAAATTAGAAAATAGAACAATTGACTTGACATTTTCTACCTAGAAAATTTCACACAATTCTAATGTGCAATATTATCATGCGAGATATTTTTGTTTTTAGATAAATTAATAAATTCATTTATTCAAATTCACTTCTCGCATTTATCAATGTCAAATTATCCAGATAAGTTTTTATTGACGAGATGATAAACAATTAAATATATTACTTGAAAATATTTACATGTATCTGAATACTTGGATATTATCTTACCATATTTTGGATATCAGAAACAATCTGTTACTATATCTATGATTTTAGATAATGGATATTCAAGAGATCTTGATTGACAAGATTACTACCTGGCTTGTATAAATTGTTCTTTGTTGTATTTATGCCGCTGCACCGGTGGAAGCAATCTATCCTTGTTGCAACTATGCCTTCCTACATCCCTGCTTTGTGCATCTCGCGTTTTATTTCGTGCGTAATGATGAAAATTCAGCAAATAATTGCCATTCGTTTTTCTTCCTTGGACCAATCCTGAGTCACACTCAGGTAACTTGTTTTCTACTACCTAAGGATGAACAATAAACTTAAATTTCTAACAAATCATCTCACACCAAGCAGTTATATATTGCTTCCATGAATATATACAATATATATGCAGGGTGTCTCAGACTTAATGAATCAGCCGTTAATGGTAGATTCATGAGATCATTTGGAAACGAAAATCTTCATACCAAAATGTTGAGAAAGGTGTAGTTTCGACGCTACAAAAGATTAAAGATTACCAATCGGTGTTACATTCTCCTGTGTTCAGAAATATAACGCGTCCAGAGGCCTGCGTACAGCGTGATATCGATATCAATAGAGGGATCAATATAAAATAAAAAATAAAATTCTGCAGTGAGCGCGATTGTGTCTTCGATGCGACTGTAGTCTGTAGTTTAAACATTTTATGAAGTCTTCCTCAACATTTTAGTATTCGAATTTTCATTTCCAATTAATCTTTGGAATCTGCTATTAGCTATTATGAATCTGGTTGATTCATTAGAGAGTATCCCGTTTGACCACAGCCAATTATATCGACCTGTGCCTAGGGTAACCAGCAACGATTAACCAATCAGAGAGTCCTATTTTGAATTGGCCAATTGGGTATCCTACGATTCATTAAGTCTGAGAATATATAAAATATGAAATTTGACAATTAATTTGAGAAAAGCTAGGAACGTATCCCATAAACATGAATCGACCTTGGAATTCTTCTCTGCACCGCCATGATGTTGTCCTTTAGGTCTCTGTCTCTTAACAGGATCTTTTGCTTTCTGTACATTGTACCTTGGTTGTTCATTTTTAGCAAAATTACCAGCGCCAATAGGTTCTCTTTTGCGCAATGTTCCCAGGTAGAGCTCGTTGTTAACATCTGAAAGAGGCGTAACTAGATAAGGGGAAATATCTCATAAGACGTAACCAGGACGACGTTCAGGTCTGGATGGTCAACAGGATGACCTTGAAGTGGACATACCTTGGTTCCTCGCATCAGTAGCACTCCCCCCTGCGGGGGTCGGCGCAAGTTTCGTCCTTACATCCATTGGTGAACAATCGATTGAAGCCAGTCTGGTGACTCGCCTCGTCGCAGCTGCGATCTCCTCCGTCTCCTCTCCTCGGAGAAATGGTATATTTTCGCACGGCCGTCATCTTCTTCAATAAGCCATGTTTCGTCAGTGCCAAAGTGATAAAAAGTGTCTCGATGATGCCGACGTGCCGACAGGTCGATAGGACGGGGCTGCACGAAGCGGGGAAAGCGCGAACGGTGAGCGCGACGCTCGTTTCCAGGGAGTAGTCGGCCTCCCCTTTCGTCGTGGACGACGACGATCTTCCCGGCCCTTAACCTTAACAATGGTCACGATCCAAATGGCGCGACCCAACCATCTGCGGAAGCGGAAGTGAGACCACGTATACCTCGCGCTCGTGATCGCGCTCGTTTGACAGTTCGCGGGATGACTCACGTGGTGGTACCACGTGACTCGCGCGGGCATCGCGCGCCGTCATTTGAATCGGGAGAATTAGGGTGCTGTCACATGGCAGTCGGAATTTCGGAAAAGTACTAAAATACTAGAAAAGTACTAGATTAACAACTTATTCTTATTTTAGGATAGAAAACATTCTATTCCAGTAAAATACATTTGTTTATTAATATATATTTGATAAATAAAGATATATTAATTAAAAGAATAATAAAGTATCTTCTATAATTTCTTATGATGTTTTTCACAATTTTTTCAATCAGCTTGACCGCAATTTCTTTCGATGACTGTTAATCTAATTCGATTACTTCAGAGACACATCATTGATCCGGATTAGTCTAAGGAAATTTAGGAAGTCTATCGCTGAGTACCACTGCTCAGTCCGATCAGAGATCCGATTAATTATCGTAAACACCCTTGATCTTTATAAGAAGAATTTTATTGTTAATAAATAATTGTTTGGTAAATATTTATTAATGTACATATAAATATTTAATCAAAATATTTTATCATGATAAAAATCATAATAAAAAAAGACAGCCCTTAAGCCCCTTGCACAATGCTAGGCAACAGGCAATAAAAACAGAAATAATATCTATTCTCTGCTCTTATTGGCGAATATTTTCTGTTCCGCGTATTTATTGGTGAATAGTTTCTATTCTTTATTTCTATTGTCTGTTGCCTAACATTGTGCAAAGGGCTTTATTCTCTGAGAGATTCTTCACCTTTTCACTTTTGTATTCTAAGGCCCAGTTCCACAATTCAGTTAATCCGAATTTAAGTAGTCAATAGACCAATCACGACCCAGTTTAACGTATTAAACTCGGATTAACTCGAATTGTGGAACCGGGCCTTACGGTTCTTCTTCCTCATGAATTTTTCATTTTCGACTTTCATCTAAAAAAGTAGATGCGTATCTTGACTGAATTCTCTCAAACACTGTTTTAATAAATTAATTTTCTCAGTAAAATCTGATAATTAATTCTATCTAGTAATAAAAATTATCAAGTAATTAATTTATTTTAATTATCGTTGAAAGGAAGCAATTAATTAATTAACGTTTTCAAAAAGATTAATTTATAATTAATATTTGGGAGAATTAATTGTCAGATTTTACTAAAAACATTAATTAATTGAAAAGAAAATTAACGAATTGAGAAAATTATTAAGAAAATTAACTTATTAATTGATTGAAATTAATTGACTTATTTATTGAAACATTAATTATTTAAATAATTAATGTTTCTAAGAAAAACACAATTAATTATTGTTTCTGATGGAATTAATTAATTAATATTTCTGACAGAATTAATTATAACAAATTTTATTAAAAATATTACTTTTATTATTAAAAAAATAATTATCGAATTGTATTGAGAAAATTAATATACTGATTAAATGAAATTAATTATTTAATTAGTTAAATATTAATAATTTTAATCATTTTTACAAATAAATAATTTTGATATGTTTTTCGGTAATAAATTCAACAATTTTTTTAATTCTATGCAATATAACTTACAAACAAATATAGAAAAAGCATTAAATTCTTTTTAAAATTAGAAAATTTTGATAAAATTTAATGTTTTAATTTAATGAATTTTACATTCAATCAGATTATATAATTGTTATATAAACTTTTGCATATTAATACTCGTAATTTGATTTGTAAATTAATGTTGAGATTGTGAAATTATATAAAACTAAAGAGCCACCAAAAAGATAGTTTTTAATCATATTTATAAAAAAACCAAGAAAATCTTTTTTTCAAGACATTTATTACAGAGTTTTTTTATATCTCTAAATTTTTTTCAATATTAAAGTAAAATAGCCGAAGCGTATAAGAAAAACGAAAGTTTTGGAAGTTAGTTTTGGAATGCACTGGATATAATTAAAGGAAATGAAGCTTAAATTCACATACATCGCTCAAATATAAGTGGAATATTTATTTGAATTTTGAATCGAAATATTAGTTTTTTATCAAAACGACGACGAATACAAAAAATATAAATTTAATCTTCTAATTTTTTATGACAAAAGTCGTAATATCTTTCATTATCATTATCGAAAAGATCCAAAATTAATACATTAACGGGGATTATTTTTAACCCCATTAATATTCTCATAGTGATGCATTTTGAGCATTTTGTCTCATATATTTGCAGTAAAAATATATTAAAGCATATTAATTTATAAATTTATTATTCTGGTCTTTAGAAGAATTTAGAGGGATCAGAAAAGGCAAATAAATTTTTTCAGATTTTTTGAACATTTTCAAAAAATGTTTTGAGAAATACATTGGACAAAAATAACTTTCCTGTACAATTTGAAGGTGTCAGAAATAACAATGCAGTGTAAGAATTAAATATATTACGCATTATTTTTTCTTCAACCTTCAATTTCAGTCTTATAATTGTCAAAAAGTTAAATGATTTTCTTGAAGAATCGAAGAAAACAATCAAAAATAGCGCGAAAAGTACGAGGTGAGCGTGGCCGGTATTCATAGCCCGATCTTATATTTGAGATCGTCTTAAGTTCGAGCTTGAAATGCTACGCAGCTATTTGATTGGTTGAATGAAGTCTTAAGTCAACCTCCAAGCAGACTTAAGACGATCTTAAATATAAGATCGGACTATGAATACCGGCCTAAGGCCCGGTTCCACAACTCGAGTTAATCGGAATTTAATACGTTAAACTGGGTCCTGATTGGTCCATTCACTACTTAAACTCTGATTAACTGGATCGTGGAACTGGACCTAAGGCCCGGTTCCACAATTCGAGTTAATCCGAGTTTAATACGTAAAATTGGGTCCTGATTGGTCCATTTGCTACTTAAACTCGGATTAATTGGATTGTGGAACTGGGCCTAATCCTAAATCCAGGAGAAGCAAGAAATTTAACTCGTCGACGTTGACAGCCCTGTGGCCGAAGCTTCGCATTTTCCCCGCGCGGGGTCTCCGACATCCAGATTCGCAGCCGAACCGTTCGACGTGAGCTCAGCAGCGGCAGGGCTCACTGGCTTCGTGCGTGCCTACGCTTACGCGCGCGCGCGTACAACGTTACAATAATAAACGCGCCCCGGTACACGCTTTCCGGAGGGTGACGTAGTGTGCGACGTTGCGTAGTATCGACGAGCGACGTCGCGGGCCGGTGACAGCGCGCGGCCAACTTCGGAGCACGCCCGACGCTAACGTCACTCCGGTGCGCTCCGGCAGCACCTTCAGTGTCGCGAGACGCCGCGCGTGAGGAGGACGCGCTTTTCTCGCGTCTGTTTACGCGCCAGCGGTGAATTTTTTTCCCCTCGGGATCGATCGTGAATGTGCCTAGATATGCGTCTGGATCGCTCGGCGGGCGCAGAAGCGACGGAGCCGCGTGTGATTCTTGCCGCGTATCGGTGAGGACACCAGCACCGGTGTCACCGCTACTGGCGGCGGTAGTGGTAGTAGTGGAATTTTCAAGGAGAAACCTTGGGGAAGCCTCGACGTCCCTGGAGCCTGGACAGGTAAAAATATGCGTAGTAGATCGAGCGGCGACGCGTGTAACGGGAGGATTCGCGCGTTCTCGCTTTGTTCGCGACGCGACTTTGGACGCGACGCCAGGCGACGTGACTTGACGTGACGTATACGCGATGCGTATCGGGCGGACCTGTTGATATCGCGCCTTCTTATCGTGCGATACCGATGCTGCCTGTGCTCGAATTGCGATCACAGCTCAGCGATATCGCCGACTGTTACCTGCCTCTTCCACTTATCTCAGCTTACCTCGCTTACGTTACCAGTGTCGCATCGATTAATATTACGCACTATTATTTATTGACAGGAACTTTCATTGAATTGTTCAACAATGACAGGTTCCTAAGTATTACCTGCGCGATAATTTAACATTTTTTTTAGATTTAATGTTCCTTTTTTTCATACACGAATTTCAAGCAAAATATTCCTAATTTCTACTTCTATACATATAATATATAATTTATTAATTATTACTTTATTAAATATTTTTTAAATATTTATTAAATATTTTTTAAATATTTTTTAAATAAATTATTTTATTGTTTTAAATATTTTTTAAATAAATTATTTTACTTCTATACATATAATATATAATTTATTAATTATGAATTTATTAAATATTTTTTAAATATTTTTAAAATATTTATTAAATATTTTTTAAATAAATTATTTTATTGTATATATTTTATATATATTTTTTATTATATAAAATATACATATATATAATAAATATAATTTTTGTAAGAGGAAAAATCGTCTCAAAATTCGTTCAAAAATATTACATTCCAAAGAATGTAATCATCAAGTTGTTTTGAATTTGTATATACATAATAATTATCATATATGTATAACAATTATATAACATTTACATAACAGTTATATTATTATAACAATTATATAACAATTATTACAATTCGAGAATAATTTAAATTATTATATATAACATTTATATAACAGTTATATAACAGTTATATTATTATAACAATTATATAATAATTATTACAATTCGAGAATAATTTAAATTATTACATCTGTCGAGATATGAAGCTTATCAGAGCATACAAGCCTCGTTCTATCTTTTAAGCGACTTTGTAAAAAATATGATAATAATATACATGTAGATCTATTTAATATACCTGTAATATAAAACATGAGAGAAGAGAGGCCGTGAGAAAAAGACAGGAGCGATCGATCAAACACATGCGAAAATATAACATCGTTACCGTAAAACACAGAAAGAGAAGATAGTTGAAGAAATAAAGATCCGAGATACCGAGTTTTATCATTTTACGAGAGAGGAAGTAAAAGTAATGTGATTGCCGTGAAATGATTTGTTTTTTCTTTTTATATTTATACTCGCACGTATACGCAGCAAACTAGTATGCGAGTTTTTTTTAAACCCCCCCTATAACGCTCCCGAT